ATATAATTCGGGTTATATATGAAAAATCCTCAGAGAAATAAAGTAAATCAGTATCCAATCTCCGTATTTTTACATTTCAAAAAGCAACTTTGCCAGGCACGGTGGCACACTCCTGTAGTCCCAGCATTCAGGAGGGCAAGGGAGGAGGACTGCTTCGAGTTCCAGGCCAGCCTGGGCTACATAGAGAGTTCAGGGCCAAGCTGAACTACATGTTAGACTCTGTCCCAGCAAAATAAAATGCAACTTTAAGCTGAGTGTGGCAGTGCACACCTATAATCCCAGCACTTGGGAGACAGGCAGGGGGATTGCTGTGAGTTTAAGGCCAGCCTGGGTTACATAGTGAGTTCAAGGCCAGTTTGAACTACATAGCAAGATCCTGTCTCAAAAAAAAAAACCAACTTTTTTTTTTTGGTACCAGGGATCGAACTCGGGTCCTTAGCTTGTGAGGCAGGCGGTGGAACCACTGAGCTAAATCCCCAGCCCTAAAAAAACAACTTTAACATTCTTTCTTGTGTATGTGTATATGCAAAAATCTATAGTGTTCAAAATAAAATATAAATCACCATAATTCTTCCAACCAAAAATAGTTAATTTTTGATATATTTTTTTCTGATTTTTCCCACATATATCAATTGACAGATAAAAAATTTGACAAAAATGGGATCATACTACAGTTTTAAGCTTGTTTACATTTGACATTATATCTGATATTTTTTTACATCTTATCTCTGTTAAAAGATAAAATAGAATTTAAGCTTTTCTTTTGTAGGACCAGGGATTTAGCTCAGGGGTTCCAGTGCCTGCCTTGCAAGCGCAAGCTCCCACATTCGATCCCCAGTACCAAAAAACAAACAAACAAAGCTTTTCTTTTGTAAAACTGTCTGAAAATTAATGTTCAATACTCTTCTATTTTCATTTTAATCCACTTTGCCCTAAGTATTAAAAACACATAAAAAGATTTAAAACAACAGTATTCACAGTAATATCATACAAACTCTAACTATGTGCCAGGTTACTTTAGGCATTCTGTGTTTGTGCATGTGTATACATGCAAGTTTATGTGTGTATGTATTTGTACCTGTGTTAAAGATTTTACTCGGAAACTACAAAACATGCTGAAAGAAATTAAAGAAGAGCTATATAAAATGGAAATACATCAATGTTCATGAATTGGAAAATGTAATATTTGAAAGATGATCAAATCGATCTACAGAGTCAGTACTATTTATATCAGAATCCCAGATCACATCACAGAAATTGACACCAATCTAAAATTCACACAGAGGGAATGGGAATTTAGCTCAGTGGTAGTGCGCCTGCCTCGCAAGCACAAGATCCTGACTTTGATCCCCCCCGAACCACAAATAAATAAATAAATAAAACTCACATGGAAACTCAAGAAACAGAATAATCAAAACAATCTTGCCAAAGAACAAAGTAGACTAACACTTCCCAATTTCCAAAGTTGCTACAAAAAAAAGAGTAAGACTATATAGTTCTGAAGCAAGGATAGATACAGAAGTCAACTGAGAATTCAGAAATAAACTTTCACATTTACTGTCAACCTAAAAGCACCAGAACAAATCAATGGAGGAGAAGCTGGGACAAATGAATATCCACACACAGCAGAATGAAGTTGGACTACTACCACCTTGCACCATATATAAAAATAAACTCAAAATAGACCAAAGACTTAAATATAGTAGATAAAACTCCTAGAAAAAATATATAAATCTTTGGAATCTTGAACTTAGAAATAATTCTTTTAGATGACACTGAAAGCATGTCAACAAAGAAAAAACAGATAATCCAGAATCATCAAAATTAAAAACAGTAGGGCTGGGCCAGGGATTTAGCTCAGAGGTTCTACCGCCTGCCTTGCAAGTGCAAAGTCCCAAGTTCAATCTCTGGTACCAAAAAACAAAACAAAACAAAACAAAAACCAGGAGGGCCCAGGATATAGCTCAGTGGCTCCGCACCTGCCTGGCAAGTGCAAGATCCTGAGTTCAATTCTCGGTACCAAAAAAATAAAAATAAAAAACAGTTGTGCTTCAAAATATACTATGAAAAAAGTGAGAAGACAACTGAAGAATGGGAGAAGTATTTGCAAATAATCTACCTAATAAAGGTCTAGTATCCATAATATATACAGAACACTTAACTCATAAACAAAAAGACTGCCCAATTTACAAATGGGCAAAAAACTTGAGACATTTCTTCAAAGAAGCTATACAAATGGCCAACAGGGATGAGAAAACATCATTCATTAAGGAAATACAAATCAAAATCATAATGAGATTCCACTTTATATCCACAAGAATGGCTATAAAAGTAATTTTTTAAAACTTAAAATCACAAAAGAGTTACTCAGTGTAGAAAAAGTGGAACCACTATATGTTGCTGGTGGGAATTAAAGTGTTCAGACACTGGACAAGAAAGAGCTTGGCAGTGCCTCAAAAAATTAAACACAGAGTTACTATACAGGCACTTAAACACATGCACATGAATGTTCATAATGGCGCTACTCACAATAGCTAGAAGATGGAAATGACTCAAATGCCCACCAATAGATGAGTGGCTAGTACACATATGATTATTAATCTGCTACAAAAAATTTTAAAAGAGTGATCATGACTGAAGTAGCTGAAAGAACTTGATACAAAGAAACCAGACTTAAAATAACACATACTGTATGATTTTGTTTATGTGAAATCTGCACATAGGCAAATCCATGGCAACAGAAACCAGATTAAGCCAAGTGTGGTGGCCCATGCCTGTAATCTCAGCACTTGGGAGGCTGAGGCTGGAGGATCATGAGGCCAGCCTGGGTTACTTGGAAAATTCAAAGCCAACCTGAGCTATGTTGGGAGACTGTTTAGAAAAAATTAAAAATAAAGTAGATCAGAGGTTACCACAGGATGAAGAAAGAAGGTAACAGAGAGTGATTATTTAATGGACTTGAGATGTTTACAGAAACTGATGGAAATGTTTTGAAACTTGATAGTAGTGATCTTTGTATAACATTGTGAATTTTCTAAATGTTCATGTTAAAATGACCTGTTTTATGTTACATGAATTCCATCTCAAAAAGATACCCAATTAAAAATAAGCCAAAACTTCAATAGACATTTTCCCCAAGAAAATCAAGTAGCTATTACACAAAAAGATGTTCAAAGTAATTAGCCATTAGAAAATATACATCAAAACCACTGCAGGACCCCATTATCATCATACATACCTACCATGTTGCCTATAATAAAAAACATGGATGGCTGGGGATTTAACTCCGTGGTTCCACCGCCTGCCTTGCAAGCGCGAGGTTCCGAGTTCGATCCCTGGTACCAAAAAAAATCCAAAAAACATGGATGTATGTTTGCTTGGTGTTTTTTTCTTTTTGGTACCGGGGATCGAACTCGCATCCTTGCACTTGCGAGGCAGGCGGCCAATCCACTGAGCTAAATCCCCGGCCCTTGGTTTTTTTGTTTTGTTTTGGTACTGGGGATTGCAATTTTTTTTTTTTTTTTTTTTGAGACAAAGTCTTGCTACGTATTTTGGGCTGGCCTTGAACTCACTATATAGCCCAGGTTGGCCTCGAACTCATAGCCTCCTGAGGGCTGGGATTGTAGGTGTGCACCACAAAAAGACAGATGTTATAACAAGTGTTCAAATGGATGGAAAGCCTCAGAACCCTCAAACATTGCTGGTAGAAATGTAAATGATGCAGCCACTTTAACAATCTAGCAAGTCCTTAAAATGGTAAATACGAAGATATTTTATGATCTAGCAATTCTATTTCTAATCTCTACCCAAGAGCACTGAAAACAGGTCCACACAAAATTTTGCACAGAAATGTTCTTAGTAGCATTATTCAGTCCCAATGAGAAAACAACCTTATTGTCCATCAAATAAATGAATAAACAAACCATAGCATATCTACACAATATAGCGCAATTTAACAAAAGGAATAAATTACTGATTCATGTTGTAACAAGGATGAACCTTGAAAATGTTATTTGAAAGAAAATGGTTACTAAAGGTCATGCAGAATATGATCTCATCTATATGAAATGTCTGGGATAGATAAATCTACAGTGATAAAATGATTCCTTATGGGGGCATGGGCCCTTTAGGGGTAATATTTTTTTAAGCAAAACATTTATTGGTACATTTTAGATACACATAATGATAACATACCTCACAGGGAATTTGTACCAGTACATGACATATCTTGCTTCTTTTTTCCCATTCCCACCCCTTATGTACAAAAGCTTTGTTTCCATTTATCTTTTTCTTTTTTTCCTTGTCCCTTCTTCTCCCACCCCGACCCCCATCCCTTGTTCCCCTTCTCATTTGTTCAGGGGCAATAATTAAAGAGCACAGAGTTTCTTTCGGGGACAATGAAAATGTTCTAAAATTGACTGTAGTGAATGTGGCATACCCTGTGAATGAAGATATTAAAAACCATTGAACTGCATACTCTATTATTATTATTATTTTTTTTTTGGTAC